GATAATGCACATTTGAACAAAGATTTACACTGGAATATTCACAAGTGCCTTTTCCTTAATAACCCCGAACCACAAAGAACCCAGACATCTCTCTACTAGCGGTTGTAGACACACTTGAAGACATATCCACACAGCGAACTAAAGGCACAAAAAGAAGCAAACTACTGATACATACGATGACACTGACGAGTTTTAAAAGTATTACACTAAATGAAAGGTGAAGGACACAAATGACTGCAAACTCTTCCGGGATTACAGTTTCTAATGTTTAAATATTGTTCAGTTCCATTGTTCTGCCTTTTCTCGTATGGTCTCCAATTATACTGTATTGTATCTTCCTTTTTCATTCTCTTGAAATGCTCACTCTGGGGTCACCTGACCTTCATGTGAGAAGTCTGACCACCCTGAGATTCCCATGTGGAAAGGGTTAATGGAAACACACAAATACCTCTTTAGTTCCTGCAGCTCCAGTCACCTTAATCTGAGATTCTAGGTATAAAAATTAGCATCTTGGACATTGAGGCTACTTGCATCTTTGTATTACTTTACATGCATCAATATACTGGTTCCATGATTTATTTCAGGTAAGTGGCCTTGAAATATTGTGAAAATACACACTAAAAATGTTCCCAAGTTTATTTTGCCTTTGGGAATTTTTTTTAAAAGCTTTGGTTAAAAGTAATAGAACTCTGATATAACCTATATAGTATAATAAATAAAATAGTCAGCAAAGAAATTAGCTTGTCAGATTCTTGACAATAAAGATATTTATATATCTATAAATTTAGTAAAATATAAAAAATCATCGCTATGAATATAAAGTGATACTTTTAATTCAAAAATCACCCAAATCACACCTCCATAAATTAGTAACTAGAACTAGAATGCTGACTGCCAGCACTTCTGCCTTATGTAAATTTAAAATGAGATGATTTGGGTTTGCTGAAGACAAAATGCCAGCCAAATAATGAGAATCTGAAATAAGTATGAGATCTCAAGATTGGCATAGAACTGAAAGTCATATGCAAAAAAAATAAAATGAATTTTTACCAAATAAATTGATATATAGTGTAAAATGAGCTAAATATGGACAAGAATAGTAAATAAGTGTTCATTTGTACCCACGTAAAGAATGTAGAAGAATGTGGGTAATTTATCAGACGAACAGCATTTCTACATAATGACTTTCCTTCACCCCCTAATGAGTATCTTCACTCCCAGGAGGTTCAGCCTTGAGGGAGACTTCCCGGGGTCCGATTCACAGGTCTACAAGGAACACGGCTGTGAGCCAGGTCTGGGGAACAGTCACAAGCAGAGACACTGTAAACCCAACTCAACGACAACACCACTTCGGCTTTCAGGTTACATTTTACCCCACGTCCCTGCTGCTGTGAATTTGGTGACATTAAGTGACAAAAACAGAGCACCTTGGCCATGTTCGCAGCATTGTGATTATGAGGGTGCTTTTATCATTATTCCTACAAATGCCGGTTTACCTCAGTTGTAAACCCCCTTTCATAACCCTGCTCTATGGGCTCCACACCGCCCCTGGCACGGCCTGCACTGCGGCCGAGGTGCAGCCCCTGTACCAGCCCAGGGGAAGGAAGGATCCGCGGTATCCGGCTTAGGCACAGACAGATGTCAAACCCAGGGGAGACTGTTCCGTGTTACCCCGCAGGATCTACCGTTAGTCTTAACACACTGCTTTTCCGGCTCCCATCCAGGATCCTCCTCTGCTTTTCCGGGGACCACACGTCTGGTGTTGGTATCCCCTGGGGCGATTCTCAACCAATAATGTTCTAACTCTGCCTGCTTTTCTCACACTGACGTTTCTTCACTTCTGCCTCTCCAACAGGCCCCCTGGGTGCCTCAAATATAGGACGATCACCCCAGAATCACTCCTCTTCCTCCATTTCCTGTCTCTTTGAATGTGTCCACACAGTCCTTCAACAGCAAACAGGAAACTGTGTGATATTACTTTCTGTTTGGCCATTAAATCCTGGAAATTCTAGCACCTAAACATCAGTAGAACTTGACTTCTCACTAATATTGTCTCAGTTAGTGACCTGATTGTTTTTGTAACTGGACTACTGAAAACTTTCTAACTGCAGGAGCCTCCCAAGCAGTTTCCCTGCTTCCAAGTTTGTCTTATGCAACCTGAGCTTCATCCTGCTGTTGAATATTCTTTCTGCAACATTTTCATGCAGAAATCCTCCCGGGATGCTCCACTGCCTTGGGGAGAGAAGACCTGTCGCAGTGAGCCAGGCTCAACCCCTCCTGGCTGTCCCCGGCACAGCCTCCTGTGGTATCTGTATTGCGCTGTTACCTGGGCGGTGGGGGCAGAACTGGATGCCCCTGCACACCTACACATTCTGTGTTGCCTCTGAGTAGCTCCGTCCTCCTCCTCAACCTTACTGGTCTGACTTATAGCTAAGTCTTAGGTTAGCAACCACCTGAAGAAGGGCTCCCTTCCTCAGCATTCTCCCCCTTCCTCTTCCTCTTTTCCATCTGGATTGTTAGATTCAAGAGCCCATTCCTCGTGTCATCCAGTGTCATCGCAGTAACAACGACACTCTAAAGCCCATACCCATGCTCCCGTCTGTCTCCCCAATTAAAATAAACTAGGTAGTGCGCTACTCTCTGGTTTCCCCTACTCCCTGGCAGTTCCTGTTCATCATCTCAAGGACAGTACCATGTTTTCTTTATTTTCCAACCCCTGAGGTCCAGCCCACAGGAGTTTCCCATTACATGTTGAATAGGCAGATGGACTGTAATGTAGTGGATTCTAAAGTTTGCACATAAATTATCTACTATAATCGAAATCACCCTGGACAACTCCCTGGGGAAGCACTCCACTGGAGACCAGCATACTGTCTCCACATGGTCACGCCCAGCACAGTTTTTCCTCCGTCACTGAAACAATATAGTTTCTTTAGATGAACACATGTAACAAAGATGTACTTAATGACAATGTTTTATTAAAATGATGTGAAGCACCAGAGTTTATATCCCTTGCGAATCTAAGGATGGCAAACAGGAAGTGACAGGGAGTAGAAGAAGAGCACATTTCTATTTCTCATCTTGAGGTCCCTCTCTGGACACACTCATCCAGAAGGATAGCAGAATCACCATGTTACACCCGTCTGTCTGTCTATATAGTTACCCAGCATTCATCCGTCTGCCCACCCATCCACCCATCCAGTCATCCATCCATCCATCCTATCTTTTGCTGAGCCTCTTCCTTTGAGTTTATATGTAAGTTAAATGTGGTTATGATGGGACTCCATTGTATTGATAGGTCTATAGGTGGCCACTGTTGATTTTCTGCAACCAGTATTTATTCAAAATCCACTTCCATAAAGATTATTTATTGCTTTAAACAGCACTGGCAAACGCAGTAATAATACCAAGCATGCAGTGTATTAGGCTGAAAGAAATCCACAGATTCACAACGCGTGAAGAAAGTGTAAGAAAAGAAATGTCTCCGCTGTTGTATTTACACTTTAAGAGAAACATTTCAGCACACAGACTGGAGAGATGCTGCTGCTCGTTAACAACCAGCAGTCAGTACGGACGAGCTGAGTGAGGACGGGGCTAGGCATCATCACTGCAGTGGGGCCACTAAAGCAGCCTGTCTGAGGACGAGCACTGCATACGCAGAGCTCTGAGGGTGCTGTACCTGGGTAAGTACCATCCATTCGCCAGCGCTCACCCTTCCGCAGGACAGCCTTCTCCGGCTCACGTCCTCTAGCTGTTCTACAGATATGCCTCCTGGGTGCACCTATATACCGGTGTAGCTGCGGACTGTTCGTGTGGGTTTATAGCTCCCCTGACTCCTTTCTATTTCCATCTTATTTCAAAAACCTAAGTACCAGGTTTAGAATTTTTGCTACAGCAGTTGAGTATTTTGTGCTTCTAAGAAGCGTCCCTAGGCAGAATAAATGACATGGTGAACCTAAAGCAAACCCAAAAGTAATAAATCACCATAGATTTCCTAAAGTTTCCTTCCCAGAAATGATAAATTAAGAATTGAAATCATCCCATTAAGTCCCACCAATTAAATAATTATTTGTATTTATAAAGTACACTTAAAATGTAAAAGCACATTTGATAACCTAAAGGAATAAAAAGTTGGGACATTATATACACTAGGATGCTGTCTTAAACATTAAGATAGCCCCGCATTGCCCAGGCATGGAAAATGCGCTCACCCAAATGAGTCAATGAGTCTTTGCAATGAACTAATTCCCACAAGTCAGATAATTTCACAGGAGAAAATGTTCTATAGAGGATATTTAATTTATTTTGATAAATAAGAGTTTTAAAGTCTCTGAGATACAATCCCCTATTTATTAAATGTAAATTTACTTCAGAAAACCCACAATGTAAAATATTTCCAATGAACTATCCTAGTAAATTTTACTTTTCTCTCACATTGATTTTGATCAAAATAGGAAGGAGAAAGGAATGAGTGAAATATACTACTAAAATCACTGCATTTTTCTTTAAAACTGCAAGACCCCTTAAAAGTCTTTTAGTCAGGATTACTCTACTTTGCAGAAAAAAATTCACTCACCATGTGCCTGGAGTATTGTTCAACGGAGTTTAAAATGAGTAAAATAATTTTTTACAAGTTTCACAAAAACTGGAGGAAGAACTTTGTAAAGCATCATATATCCTATATTTTTGATTTTCAAAATGAATAACCTGATTTCATGATTTTACTTTTGTTAAAAATTTTTACAGTTGCAAAATACAGAAAAAGTGTAAAATATGATTACACTTACCAATATGTAAAAGTAGTTATTAAAAGATAAACGATCATTGCATTTCATTAGGAATTAGTCAGCTCTCATCCACTCAGTATTAGAGAGAGCTACACAAACTCCTCCCAAGAAGGAGAGAACTGTAATACCGTAACTTACGTGTTAAATAACATTTTAACACCACTGACAGTATTACCGTGCAGATGGAAGGGCTGGGTTTATGTGGCAACTCACCTCTCCACCATTAACATATTCCATCACAAAACACAAACGGTCTTTAGTCTGGAAGGAATATTTCAAGGACTGAAATGAAAAAGAAAAAAAATGTTATATTATGATCCTCCATCATTATCATGGTACCAAACAGAATACTTTGAGACAGTAAGCATGATTGAGGAAATGAACTGTTATTCTTCCTTATGAGTCTACGTATTCCGTAAGAGTGCTTAAGTGAGAGTTTATGAGAAACATAAATTATGTTTAGATCAGCATTGGGTATTGTTAGGGAAAAAATAAAAATTTAAGTGAAAATTAACTTAGAAGTTGTGATAAAAACTTCTCAATCTACTGGGTCATCTATTTCATCTTGTACTGGTCCGCAAAGTTCTCATCCATGCAACCTTAAAGTGAGGGTGACAAATCACTGTAGTGGAAGTCTGAGGAATACAGGCCTAGCTGTTATATTTGGAGATCTAATATACTGACAACATAACTTTCTGCATATAGGTCACATAACATGACCCACTTTAATGAAGTCTGTTCATGAACTTTCATAGGTTATAAAGACATGGGAACTTCAGAACTATCTTAGTACAATGGGTGGGAAACACACAGTAATGCAGCACATGAAGTCTAAGTATCTGATGACACCTCTGAAAATTCCCACTTTAGCCATCCTAAATCTTTAAGAGGTGCCTCCTTTTGAAAAGTCTAGCTGTTATTTTTATCTTAATATACTTCATTGAAATACAGAGAAACTTTGCAAATTATGCCTCAGTTATAATCATTCTAGGAAAAACAGGACTAAAAAAAATCAGTTTGTTTCATAACAAACAAGTCCATTTATACCTTGTCTAGTGAAGAAATATCATGACTTAGCCTATTTTTATTTTAATCTACTGGAGTAGTCCTGTGTTTCCTAAAGTACTTTATAACTAAAGTCTCAATTTTAACAACAAAAAAAATATTCAGTAAACATTTCTGCCTTGCATATTTAAAGCCAATGCACCCGATCATTTACACCTTTATTAGAAACGGATAAACAAAAGAAATATAAAAACACTTACTACTAATCTTTTTAGTAGAACTTTAAGTCCACCATTTTCTCAGTGGTCTCTTTAAAATGCCACGGGTGACTTAGTTGCTGCATGAAATTTTTTATTAAAGGTAGAGAATTCGGGAGAGGAAGAGACCTCCAAACAGTAGGTGCAGAATGGGAGGGATTACAAATGCACGCAATATTATATATTCAATCCATACATTTGGATAATTTTGAAGAAATTTGACTTACGGTCTTTCCACGCAGAAAATGCCATACCTAAATTAATGTTACTTAAAATGGATTTTTCTTAGCTCGGTTCTGTAAAACTCCCATGAACTGAACATGTTACGGTTGTAACATCTGCCCTCTCTTCACTTACCGTTAAAAAGGGATGTCTAGTGTTCTTTAGTACTCTGCTTTCCGTGAGAGTGTGTGCCACCTCATCCTGCGAAAGAAAATGGCAAACCTTTGATATATGTTCGAAGTACTAGTAATATAAAAATTTCACCACTTCCCTAAGGCCTAGAGGCGAAAACCTGGAAACAGAAAAAGATTTTATACCACAGTGACACGCTTCCTTTATGGCTAAGCTTCTGCTACACCAAAAAAAAAAAAAAAAAAAAAAAAAAAATCAACTGAATGACTTACATCAGATTGCTACAAGGCATAAATTCTTACAAAGTCAGTCATACTTAATCAAAGTGTATAAATAATGCTATAAAAATCACCCAAAAAATACCTTTCAAGAATTTGCTTATTGTTGACAATGCTCCTGGACATCCCCCTTTTATCTGGCTGCCCCAGCAATGCAGGAGGATGCACAGGAGGGGGAGCGGGGCAGCCACGGCCTCTTGCTGCCCCCGGAGCCCACTGGCCGTGTGCGCTCACTGATGACCCTGCGGGCCCTGGGTTCTCCCTGCGCCCGGTCACAAACGGTTTCAACCTGTAGCCTGCAACACGGCCCCCAAACAAGGATGTCATCTGCCCTTCAAAGCCTGGGACCTGGCATTGACTCGGTCTGCTTATGGATGAAGTCCTTCCAGGAGTCCGCTTCCAGAACAGGGGGCTTTCACCCACACTGAGTATTTTCTCTGGCAGGTGATCTTCCTCCCTAGTCCGCGCACCCAGAGTCTCCGAACATCCTTGGCTGCCTTCACGCCGGCGCTCACAGCCTGGCTGCTCACGCTCGCCTTAGGAAGGAACGTGGGCTCTTGAATCCTTCCCACCGCCCAGAGCCTGCGGTACAGTCAACATCACCGTCGGGGCAGCCTTTTCTTTCCGCATCGCCAGCAAACTTTCTGCTTTGACCACGACCTTCACGGTGCTGAGAGGGACACACTTCTGTCTGGTCTCCAGTGTGTTCATGAGCAGTCTCTCCCTGTCTGAGTCCGGCCCTCCCCAAGTCTGTGTCGGCCTCGTGGCTCCAGTGGGGCAGACGCTCTTGTTCTCCAGGATCGTAGCTGCAGCGGGGGGGACCTGCCTGAGTGGCGACCACCAACCACCCCTGGTTTCCACCTTCATGGTCCTTAATCACTTTTCCTTTCCTTTCTGGGTCAATCCCTCCATGTGGCCTCTCACTGCAACAATTAGCTATGGATTCTGTATGTTTAGGGGCTGTGATGAATGAAACAATGTGAGATTAAATCAGCACAAGAGAAAATGACGCCATCGAGAGACATGGTGAACACGAGAGGTATTATGAGGCTGCAGCTGGCAAACACGGCATACTGTTTCACAGCAAACTTACTTTTCACAAATAGAAAGAGTACACTCTGCAGTCATGATGAGGAGTGTAGTAAATACATAAGCCAGTAACAATCGTTTATGATCATTGTCAGTATCACAGACTGTACAAAATTGAATGTAGTCTTTTGTAGGACTGGCGGCCCAATCAGTCTGTTTACACCTGCCTCCCCTCAAGCACATGAGCAGTGCACCGAGCTACAACGTTATGATGTCCCTAGGTGACGGCAACTCTTCAGCTCCTGCGTAATCATCCACGTGACCACTGTCTTGTCTGTGGTCCATTGTTGACCCAGACATCACTAGGCAGCACGTGACTGTATATATTCATCTGTGGTTAAGTACTGAATAATGCATTTTAAAACATAATTGTTTTCACAGAGAGAAGCGTATTGAAAATGGGATTTTATTTCTTTGAGAACATGAAATAACAGGATGGTCCTCCCCATATTTATTTTTGCAATTGTCTCTCATTTATCTGGCCCCAACTATTCATGACCAAAAATTCTCCCTTTGTTGCCCCTCATACTGTTGTGTGGTAACTGGGCTTTGGGGGGGGGGGGGGAGTCGAGGAGCAGGAAATGGCACAGAAGTGGAGAAAGAGAACGCCTGTACCCCATTCACAGGGACACCGAGGGTGGCATCCTCTTGCATCCCTGTAGCAGCTCCGCAGGTGTGTTTCATAGAAGTCCCACGGCTCAGGCTGCAGGTGAGAAAGTCAAGACTGAGCCCATGTCTGAGTCCCATGTTAACGGTCATTTCCACTTCACTGTGTCGCCTTCCATCTCCACGCAGCCTGGCATCTATGTGACAAGGTGATGCTGGCACCCCTAAGGCATGTGAGCGTCGCTCACTCCTGACACGATGTCGACATGGGCACCTCGGCATGCAGACCCCAGGTCTTGTCAGACGCTGAAATGTCATGTTGCTTATCTTTTCACTGTGAAAAAGCATCTCTTCCTTCGAGAAATGGATACGTGGGCTTGTTGGGGAAAGCAGCAATGATCTACAGAGATCAGAACACCCTATCATTTGTGACGCATACCCTGCTTTCAACAGTTGCTCAGAAAAGTGTAATTAATTAGTAAGGTCAGACAGGATCCAACGAGGCTTGTACACAAAAGGAAACACAGGATGGGAGCGATGTTCAGTCATGCATGACACCAGTAGGTGGTAATGATAGTCACGGAAAATACATGTAACCATAATATAGTTATTTTCATTTACTGCTACTTTAATTTTAACTTTATCTTATATATACATGCATAACTACTTGTATGCACTAATGACAGCAAATGCTATTCCATTTATTGATGCATTCATTTAATCCTGCCAATGACCCGCCTGTGAAAGGGACACTATTAGCATCCTCACTCTTCAGATGAGCAAACAACGGCAAAAACAAGGTTGAGTCATTTGTTGGGGACCCATCTGTAAGTAAGGAGCAGAGCCCACCATACCTGTGCTACCTCCCAGAAAACATCAACCTAATCATAATACGAGCCAGGTGTTATGCTGAGTCCTTCACATACCCTACTCAACATAATATTCTTGTCCAGGAATGTTGTTTCTGACAAATAAAATTTTTAAAAATGAGAAAACTAGGACCCTCCTGGGCTTCAGGCTCTTTAGCATGCTTGGGCTCTATCTGGAGGGAAAAGGCTGTCAGCATTTTCCCTCCCCCGAGTCATTCTGACAAGCACATACGCCCCGCCCCCCCGCCCCACACGCACAGATATTTCCAAATGTCCCTGAGAGACTGGTACGCCCTCAGCAGCTGGTGGTGAGAGGTCATCAGGTGATGAGAGGCAAAGCTGAGATACAAACCTGGGCCTGTCTGACCCTAGGTCAATGTCATTTCCAATACCAGACACTGACAGCGAAGGAGCTGAGATTGAAACCAATGAGCAAGACACAGGGCGGGGGGTGGCGGTGGGGGGCTTGTAACTTCACATGGGGGGGCAGTACCCTCCAGGTGAGGACATACTGATGTAAGTAACGCAGTCTGTAAAGTATAACAATAATATGATATGTCACTTGCTAAATTAAGCAAGGCATGGACCAATTTATAAAGCATATCAAATCTGTCTATTGAGGGAAGTGGGATTTAATTTAGAACCCTGAGGAATGGCATCATTAACATGTTAATTATTGGTGTAAGTGAATGAAGTCACGAGGAGGGCATTCTGCAGAAAGAATTTCAAAGACTATCATTTCTTTTAGTTTCATTATTCCAGTATTTTCAAATCTTTCAAGGATGCTTTTCCATTCAACACAAATAAGCTGTATAATTTATGAGTACAAGTCTTCTGTTACACTAATCCCTGTTATTTAATAAGAAATTCAGAACGTTGGGGGGAAATAAAAAGCAACATTAGTATAATTAGTGATACAGGTCACAAATATATAGTAAAAACATTCTCCCAAACAGACACAGAATAAATATTTCTACCTCCTCAAGGGAATAAAATAGCTTCAGTATATAATATTCAGATAATATTATAAACTTTTGGAAGTATTAATATGATAAATATTACCATACAGGTATCCTGGTAGCAGTAGCCTATATCAATACTTTAGTTATTTGGTATAATTCCACACTGATCACGTGCATGCATGAGGATACATGTGCATACAGCACAAACAAAAATTTCAGTTACCTTTGCAATAATAACTTCTTTCTTCAGAATCTTCATAGCATAGTATTTCCCACTTGCTTTCTCTCGAACCAAAATAACTTTCCCAAAAGTGCCTTTACCTAGTAGTTTCAAATAGTCAAAATCATTCATTGTCTGGAAAATACAAATTAAAAAGTCAATGAAATTTTTTGTAAACATACATGGATACATTTGCCATGTCTACTCAAAAGCCAATTTTACCAATTTCTAAACACTCTGAAATGAGTAAGAATCACTGGCTGTCTCATTAGCAATCGTGGATGCTGGAAATCGCTGAAGCAATTCTCAGATACTGGAGACAATAATTCTGAACCTAGAATTCCTCAGCTACTCAAATTATCAGTCAAGAAAAAATCCAGGACCAGATGGTTTTGCTGGTGAGTTCTATAAACATTTGGGGGAAGAAATAATACCAATTCTGTATAAACTCCTACAGAAAATAGAAAAGGAGAGAACATTACCAATTCATTCTACGAGGTCGCCATGACCCTGACACCAAACCAGACAAAAACGTTTTAAGAAAATGACAAACCAATCAATATCCCTTATGTAACTAAATCTATGTAAAAAATTGTAAAAATTTTACAAGTGAATGTCTACATTCATTTTCAACATTATATGCTGCCTGTAACTTTTCCAAATGTCAAGTTATAATGTGTGAACCATTCAATAATATCTCTAGTTTAAGAGAAAAGTAGTGAAAGACATCAGGAAAACAATCAAGTACATTTATTAACTCAACTAAAAATCAAATAAATGGGACTAAATATACAGACTATAGTTTAAAAAGCTAGTTGATACTTTCATTTTCATGAACAGATTTTAAAGATCAAGGAGTACTACAGGCTCACAAAGTGGAGTACTACAGGCCCACAAAGTGGAGTACTACAGGCCCACAAAGTGGAGTACTGCAGGCCCACAAAGTGGAGTACTGCAGGCCCACAAAGTGGAGTACTACAGGCCCACAAAGTGGAGTACTACAGGCCCACAAAGTGGAGTACTACAGGCCCACAAAGTGGAGTACTGCAGGCCCACAAAGTGGAGTACTGCAGGCCCACAAAGTGGAGTACTGCAGGCCCACAAAGTGGAGTACTGCAGGCCCACAAAGTGGAGTACTGCAGGCTCACAAAGTGGAGTACTGCAGGCCCACAAAGTGGAGTACTGCAGGCCCACAAAGTGGAGTACTGCAGGCCCACAAAGCTGCTTGTGCTCAGGAGCCTCGAAGCCGGGCACCACCTCTGGTCCACGCACAGGCCCGTCTGCCCAGCCACGGCGGAGTCAGCCTTCTCTCTCCCTGGGCTGGTGCCGTGTCCTGCCCTGGACACAGAGTGGGATCAAAGTGACACGGTGCCAGTCCCGGACCCAGCCTCTAAGCCTGTCATTCCCGAAAGCCAGCTCTCACGCTGCAGAAAGTCCAGGCTGTTCTGCCGGAGAGGGAGGCCGTGCAGAGAGGCGCTGGAATGTGAGACGCCACGAGCAGGGAGATCACACGAGGGGACGCAGGGTCTCTGTGAGCAAGGCTTTCCTGCACTTTCCACACCAGCCCACGTGCTGAATGCAGCTGCCTGAGAGATGCGTTGGAGGCCAGCGGAACTGCCCTTGCAAACCACGGAAGCATGAGAAACGATGTGCCGTGACTGTTTTAAGACACTGAACTTGGGTAGGCAATAAGGAGAGATGTTATTTTCACAAATAGGCCACGTCACTGTGCTGCTTCAAGCTTCCCGCGACCAGCACACTCACCGTTTAGTTTAATCTAAGAGAACTGGAAAGCAATACTCGCCGTGTCCTATTGCTCAGTAACATATAAACTGAAGCTGAATTCTTAGGGGTGAAAATCAAAGAATAATTTTTAAACAGCTTTATGATGTTTTCAGATGAAAAGTAATACACCATCAGAAAATATGACTGTGCTCCTCTAGGACTGTGATCCCGTGGGACAGGGAGAGAGTTAAAAGGTACAAGAGCCCACAGCCTCCGTCAGGGATCCTGCCGGTCTTAAAAAAGGAATTTGCCTGGAAATTGATATTAGTAAAAAGCATTCTGTGTGATAAAATCAGAAACAGATATGGTATCTGTTTTGACAAACCTTCAAAATACTGTAAAAGCCTCTTTGATACCAAATGCTCATGTTGAGCATGTGTACACGGTAATTATCTAGTCTTTACAAGTGAAATGTAACTTGTAACAAAATTTTTTCCTCTTTTGCAAGGTGTTAAGGGGAAAGATACAGTGAGATTTTAATAAAAAATGAGAGCATGGTTACTCTCCAGGATAATTAACCTCTCAAGACCCAATCCTAGAAATCCAGCAGGTAAACATTTCCCAGTCATACTCTTTCCTTTACGGAATGTCTCACATGGCAACAGGGCTGCTTTAGGCTAACAGATACACGTGCATATAACATGCTTCCTAAGTGTATTGAAATCACAGATACTAGAGTATAAGAAGAAGACTAAATATCTGGTCCAAAAACTAGGTTAAAATATGAACACAGAATTGAAGAGGAATGCAAGGAATCTCTCGGAAAAGAACATAGAGGTTTAGTAAATGTAGTCAAAACAGGTCAATTCCATACACACTGACAGTGGGAGAACTAACCCAACTACAGCCCCATGGGACACTAAGTTAAAAGGGGGGTCTCTCCAGAAGTCCACCTTTCTGCCCGCCCTCTGCCCACGCCCCCTGGTCCTCTTCCTCACAGGCAGGGAACGCTGTCACTTAGTCAGTTTCTACAGCACTGGTCAGGCCAGGCAGTGAGAGAGCACACGGTTTCAGCGGGTCCCTCCATCTCTTCTCTTTGTCCACATGCTAATGGAGCTCTGAGTTACTGTAGCCAGGCGTCAGGTAATGAAAGGCCAAGAACTGGAGTCAGGCTTTAGGGGGAGATTGGAGGTATGGCCTACCCTTTCTACCTAAATCATGAGATGATCGCCAGCTGCCCCCAGAGAGGCCACAGGGGTCACTTAAAAATTAAGCAAAACATTCTCATCTGGCTGCTGGTCCCTTAAGGCCACATCCCCTCCCCTCCCGGTGGGGCCGGAGAACGGCAGCTTGGCAAACCAAGTCAAGCACTTCTGAGTCCCAGCAAATCCTTTACTTTAAGAAAAAAAAATAAAGTTAAAACTATATTGAGAATATCTTTTTTTCCTTTTTATTGAATCTACTGGGGTGAGTCTGGTTAACACAATTGTATCGGTTTCAGGTGCACGATCCACAGCACATCTATGCACTGTATCGGGTGTGCACCACCCCAATGTCAAGTCTCCTGGCAAATGCCTCTGGTGCATCACCTGTTAAACACAGAACAGCACTCGACTCTGGTTGTGAGGCCTGTGCTCTCTGCTCCACCCCTCAGTGTCGCCTAGCTCCCTTGAACAGTAGCTATTCGCTTCATCCCACTGCTCGGTTTTCAAACGTGAACACAGAAGAAAGCGTGTTCTGTACGTTATGAGAAGGATGTTCTTGTTTCGGAATGTGTGTGTTTAGTCTGAAATGAAAAAGTCATCTGAACTTCTACGGTTCTCTTTATACACAGAAAGAGTACAGTCCGAGAGCCGCTTACCTGGGCAAGGGACAACAGTGGTTTCCCAGTTTTTAAGCAAATTACTAGGACCATTAGAGAACAGGGAGGAGTACAATGTTCTCTCTTTTTCTGAACTCTTTGCCATTTAAACCGCTTTATGCTATGCAATTTTAAACAAAGTGAAATCTAAAAAGAATAATCGAAACCAGATACGGGCCAAGTAAGACAACAAAGCCCCCCAAATTCAAAATACTATCAAGTTTCCATTTTGGAATGCTAGCTAACAATAACAGCCAATCCTCACTGAGGACTCAGCGTTCAAGCACTTTACGAGAAGCCCCTCATTTCAACCTCACAACCGTGTGAGTTGAGCACCACTGCTACTGCCTCTTCAGCTGAGGGGACCGAGGAACAGAAGGATGAAGAAACTTTCCCACCGCCATACACGGTGAACCCCCACTATCGACCACTGTCCTGTTAATATTAAAATTCTACTGATTTTCCAAGAGGCCTGTAATATAAATAAAATTAACTAATATCCAAATATTATATCAGGCCAACAGTTTGAAACAATAATTCGTAAAAGAGTACAATCACAGAAGAAAATGAATACTGGTATAATTTTGTTTCTAATATAACCTGATTATGAGTATAGCGATTATAGAGACTATCAAGACTCAAGATATTTGAATCAATAAAAAAAAATCAGTTGCACACTGAAGTTGCACAGTGTATAACTGGAAGTCCTCATATACTTGAACAAGATACTTAAGTTCTCTGAGTGTCAGATGATTCAACTGTAAGATGGGATAATGACAGACATTCTTTTGAGGATCAATGAGATAATATAAATGAGATAAAATACTGCTCAGAGCCTAGAATAAAAAAAGCTTATAATAAATGCTTACAAGTGTCAATCAGGGAAGATGATGAATTCTAAGATAATCCACACTAGTAATTGTGAAAAGGGGAATATGTATTATACTTACACAATCGTTTATAACCAGCCCTAACAGAAAAAAATAAAATCTCAACACACTTCTCCATTCTTATATCTTCTGTCTCCATTCAGCATTCTTCCAGTAAGTTTCCATATCCATTTCCAGAATTCTTCGATCCATCAATGACAACATTTCTAGTTAGAGTGTTATAAACTCCCCACTTTCAACCTCTACCTCAACAGTATCTTATTATTAATCTTTGCTACTAAGAAGATTTTAGGAATTTCCAGAATTAAACAGGTTAGAGCTGGTACAGCTTGTTATTAACTGGGATACTTTTAATTCAAAAGGTAAGGCCACCTGGCATCTGATTTTGAATCACAAGCAGGGTTAAATTTCATGTTAATTTTGTACATGTGCACACACCCTTGGAAAAGCAGCATTCTTATCTCTGAGTGTGTGGTAGGTCTGGGTTGTTTTGGCAATGACTGTTTTGGAACAAGGGGTGGGGAAGTTGACTTAAAAGTAAAGAGAGATTCAGTTTAATCAACAAAGAGAGGATAAGTCTTCAAGGAATACACGAAGGGTTCTTGGACATTTGGCCAAGATCAAACACAGAATGTGGTTCTAATTAGGACAGAAATTTCAAAGAGGGAAGAGATCATGAACTAACACTAAGGTGTGACTGTATTAGTTCACCCACTTTACATGTCTGGCATGGAGAAGGAGGAGGACTGGAACCCAGGCAGTCCAATTCCAAAGAGTCCTGAATCACTGCGCTTATAAGAAAGTACAGGAAAAACCACCTTAAAAATTGGTGTTTTCCTTCGTGAAGATTAATTTATAATCTATTATAACAAGTATATCCTAACATGGTAAAAGGCATGTTCATCTCTTTTGAACACCTATTTCTTCAGATTAATCTTAAAATATCTTTTTTTTTTCACAAAGAAGTTGCTTTTCAGTTTTCTACAGCAACAAAAAACAATTCACAATAAATATATAAACTGGCACTTATTATTCTGAACACTGAGGGGAGGAAAAGTCTGTTTCCCTCACTGGCTCATGAGATTCCATTAAAATAAAAAAAATAAAAAAATAAATGATTATTTCCAAGACTGTTCGCTTTCCTGCCAACAGGAGCGAGGCCGGGCTGCGCGGGAGGCCCAGCGCAGTCCTTCCTGCCTCTGCGTCCAGGGGCGTGCGGGGTGCCAGACGGAGAGGGACCAGGTCATTAGGGAAAACGGTCTGGCTCCAAGTTTCTCAAGTGGCGTCTGAGACAATAAGGGGAGGATGCGCGTCAGAGAGTGGCGTGAGGGCGCAGCAGTCGGTCGCCAGCCCCTAACGAGCCCTGTCCGCACTCGGTGCCGAGTGCCGAGCCCCAGAAACGCTGCTTTAATGTGTGGGTTTAAACAACGACAGGTGTTAGGAGTCACCTGAATAAAAACCACCTACACCCAGATAACAGGCTGAGGTTTTGTTTTTTTTTTGCAAATTGCAGTTTTTAGCATGTTCCTTCCATCCACATAAATGGGCTAGGCAGGGGGATAAGTCACTATTTTCTACCTTTCTTTTATGATGGGTTGTAGACGCGTCCATCTCCTCCTCCCCGATGTTGTCAATTTGTGAGGTCGGGCTGCAGTTCATTCTCTCCTCTTCTTGCCTCTGAAGTCTGTCTGCCACAGCCTGAATAGCCTCTGTCCATTCTTCCCTGGAGAGGCAAGGAGGACTTCTCATTAAGAGAGAATGGCAAACAACTCAAGTTTCCTTTTTGTGACATATGACATGGGCACAAATAAGGTCTACTCCAGCATCTCACTCACACACACACACACACACACACTCCCATCCTTACTCCAAGGTGGGATTAACCCCAAGGCATTTCCATCACGGCCTAAAGTCTATCGTACCGTTTATTTGGAGGTATGTTAAACCAGAAAAAGAAGAAAAGGATTGTAAGAAAACTCAGTTAAAACCCTTTAAAAGGGCAGTAACATGTTAATTGTGTACCTCTTGCTTATAAAGTAAATTGATCCTTAAAAGTTGGCTGCGCTTTCTGAATGTTGTGTTCAGCCACTGTCAAGTCCATCAATGGCACGCCAAGCCCTTCGCTGCAGCCCACCCAAAGTCCTAAGAAAAGTGCTCAAAGCCAAAGCCTCTCACTGCCCCCAGGTCATAGGTAACGTTCCTTTTTATTCTAGAAAATAATGTTTAATGTTTCAAACAGAAAGAATTACATTTGAGGAAAAAATTGAATACCTTTTTTTTCATGATTTCCAACTTGTTTTTCTCTTAGAGTTTTATTTTTTAATTTAATCTTTACTGTACCTTTTTTTAAATGATAGACATAAATTGTAGCTTAAATAATAAATCTCTTGAGCAGCAGTATAAAGCTTTTATTTTCTGATAGTTGTCTCAACACATCAAGCATCATTTATTTCCATGTAAATTTTAAAATTAGCTTGTTTTTTCTTCAAGTCCATTAGCATTTTCAATGGAACTGCATTAAGTCTACAGATCAATTTGGAAGGAATTACCATATTAATAAGTCATCTTGCAATCCATGAACATGGTATAGCTCTGCATTTATGTTTGTCTTTAACTTCTCAGAGGAATGTTTTGTAATGTTCTATGAAAGTGTCTTGTATATCTTTTTTTTAAAGATTTTATTTATTTATTTTTGGAGAGAGGGAAAGGGAAGGAGAGGGAGAGAAACATTAGTGTGTGGTTGCCTCTCAGGTGCCCCCTACTGGGGACCTGGCCCACAACCCAGGCCTGTGCCCTGACTGGGAATTGAATGGGCAACCCTTAGGTTCGCAGGCCCACGCTCAATCCACTGAACTATACCAGCCAGAGCTCTTGTACATCTTTAATTCAATTTATTTCTAAGTATAGTTTTATTATGGAGGGTTTTTAAATTTTAATTTTTAATTTTTCTCGCTAGTATTTGGAAATATAGTTGTTCTTATGTGTTGACCTTTTCTCCTGCAGACGTACTAAATTCACTGCCTAGTTCCAGGAGCTTTTCTTTTTCTGTATTTTCAACACATGCAGCCATGCTGTCTACAAGGAAAGGCACATTTTGCTCCTCCCTTTCTAGTATGTTTGCCTTTTATTTCTTCTGCTTGCCTTACAGTAGTCTAGATCAGACAGACCATCGGCACGATGTTAAATAAACGTGGTGAGAGCAGACGTCCCTACCTTGTTCTCTTGGGAAGTACTGATCCTTGACCTTGAGCATTGCTTCCGCTGCAGGACCTTTTTTGTAACTGCCCTTAAGCTGAATAAGTTCCCTTTTCTTCCTGTTCAACACAGTTTTTGTTCTAACAAGGTGCTGGGTTTTGTCAAATATTTTTCCTGCATCTGTTGAAATGATCATGCAGTTTTTCTCCTTTATCCTATTAATATAGTGAATTTACTTGAATGATTTTCAGATATCAATGAAACTAAATTCTTGGGATTAACTCCATTGGGTCATGGTGTGTTAACCTTTTTACGTATTTTGCGATTCTGTTTGTGAAAATTTTGTGAAGAAATCTGGCGCCTATGTTCACAAGTATGTTGGACTACAGCTCTCTCTTCTTGTGATTCTTTAAACCGGTGCCTGGTTTTTGGAACGAGGCTGACAGCGGCCTTATAAAATGATTAGGAAGTGTTCTCTTCTCCACTATTTTCTGACATAGATTCTGTAGGACTGTGTTTAACAGAATACACCAGAATGAAGCCATCTGGACTTGGGAGTTTTCTTTGAAAAAAAAAACAAAAAACTTTAGTTACTAATTTCTAATTTAATTTTGTTCACTGATATTAGATTAAGTTTTATATTTTTTTCTTGGGTCACTATCGGTAACTGCATCTTCTCTTTTATTTTCTTTAACAGCCTTCCAAAATCTTTCTGTTCTATTAATTTTGTTTCAAAGGACGAGCTTTGTTTTACTGATTGTTCCCTATTATTTTTCTGTTTACAAGTTCATTGATTTCTGATCTTTATTGTTTCCTTCTTTCTGTTTGTCTTGGGTTTAATTTACTATGGAAAACACTATGGAAGTTCCTCAAAAATATTAGAACTACCATAAGATCCAGCAACCCCACTTCTGGGTATTTAACCAAAATAAAATGAAATCAGGATCTCGGAAAGATATTTGCACTCCTATTCACTACAGCACTATTCAAATAGCCAAGAGATGAAAAAATCCTACATGTCCACTGGCAGATGAAGGGGCAAAGAAAACACACGGTGAGCAGGGTGGAATATTATTAGGTCTTAAAAAAAGAAGGAAATCATGTTACATGCTACAACATGGGTGAACCCTGAGAACATTATTCTCAGTGAAATCCGCCAGTCACAGAAGAACGAATGCTGTACGTTTTCACTCCCACGAGATATCGCAGGCAGCCACACTCACAGAGCAGAAGGCAGGATGACGGCTGCCAGGGGCCGGGGAGAGAGGGGGTGAGGAGCTGCCCTTCAGCAGGTAAGGAGTGTTAGTCACAAGAAAGTTCCCGAGAGCTACTTTAGATACAGTATTGTAGACAGAGTTCATGGTACTGTACTTTGCACTTAAAATCTTGGTAGATGTCATGTTTCGTGTTTTTAATCACCATTTGAAAAAATGGTCTAGAAAAGCTAAGAACATTTGGAAAAAACAGCAATAATGGAAGGCTTGCCTTATTAAAAGCTGTAAGTTTTATTAGACTTCTTTAATTAAAACCATGTGGTCCTAGTGCTAGAAGGACAAAATTGAGGGAAAAGAGAAAAGATCTAAAAATATAAGTATTTATGTACACACATATGGGACAGGCATAATCAGAAAAGAATGGATTATTCAATAAACAGAGGTGAGAACAGGCTCGTCTTTTGGAAAAAATAAATTCTAAACTTATATAAAGAAATAAATACAAAATTTTTAAAGATAGATTAGTGATATACATTTAGTTTACAACAGGTAAGAATTTTTGACTGGAAGAAAGAATATAGAAGATAAAGAGTTGTTCTCAATACATCTAAGTCTTCATTAACATTAAAGTCATACACAACACTGAAACACCAAATTGTAGGTGAAGTTAGAAAAACAAACTCTAACATAAATATAAATATGCTGTTTTTCATTTTCACTGAAACTGCTTCCTTCTAGTCACAAATGCAAAGGAAAACTGACTACCCAGAAGAGTGGTGTGGTATTGCAGGAACGGCAAACTGTTTCAGAGTCGGCACGCCGCCTGCAACCCTGTGCTCCCTCCAGCCTCAGAGTTCCACACACAGACCCCAGGGATGCTACCATTTTTAAAAAGTAGTATTATAAAAATGTCTTCTTTAATTTATATTTTAACTTTTAATGTTGTTTTTCTCTTAAGTATATCTTACAGAACTTTGAAAGTTTTGATTTAGTATTTTGCAAGTTATTCATCGATTATACCAGACTAATAATAATAATTAAGGGACTATGGCATTTTACAAATATGTATACATATTTTTATAAATGGTGAGGTCAGATGCACATGGATTTTTTAGATTGACTGTTGCTTTTTCACAAAATGGAAGAACAAAAATGACTTTCTTACCTTTCCTCTGGCGTGTCTACATGAAACGTTCTCTCTATAACGGTGGTCCACTGGAGGCATCTGATAATAAATGTGTTTGGCTTTGGTCGTTCTGTTTTCATTAACTGGCATTCTAGTAAGAAAACAAAATGTCTCTTTGAATAGACTTATATTCAAACCAGGAACTAAACAGTTGAGAGCTACAGAGCTCTATTCCAAACTGAGCCACGGGGACCTCGCGGCGTCCTGGGACTCTCCGCTCCGGGTGGTCCGCGCTGTGATCTGTCCAGGCGCCGTGCCCGCTGCCAGCCTGGTCTGCCCCGCTCCAAAACACTCCCCTCTCGCTAAGACAAAGTTCTGGTTTCTTAGGCTGACTTTCGAAGCTATTCATTAGCAACCCTGAATCTTTTTCAAACATTATTCCTTACCATAAATACAAAGAAAGCATCACAGCTAATTCTCTTTTCCTTGTAACACAATCTCAGTATTTAAAAATCCACACTCCTTCGGAAACAAAATTTACTTTATGATCTGTCCCCCTAAAACCTGAAATACTTATTTCTTCAAAATCTAAATTGTCCAGTTAAACTACCTCTGAGAACATTAGTGTTAAATACTGCATAAGAGACACATGCAATTAAGCATATACAGATATAGATATTGATGTATAACTAAATCCTAATAACGTTAATTTGAAAAAAATTAGAAGCCTAATCGAATTCTCAATTTACATAGTTACAGCTCTAACCTAACAGGTATCTTTCTTTCCCTTGGAAAACTGATAGAATTAGATCCACAAAATAGTTACAGGATATTTTCCCTCGGAGAAAAATAAAAAGGTAGACTTATCCATTCAAAGCAAAGCACACACTTGCAAAAACAACAACAACAATGATGATGAAGACAAAAAAACCCCTGAGTTTTAGAAGACTGTAAATAATCCTAGCAATTTCATTACAAATGTACAGGGTCCGGCAGAAGTAGCGCCTGCTTGAGCATGGTTGGTGGGGTAGTAATGTACATGTAATAATTTGTAGCTTTAATTTGAACATTTCATCTAAAGTGACATATGGGGTGCTTGCGTGTGCCATTGTTTTGTTACAAAAGCACATGCTTATGATTTTGTAATAGAAGATTGTGTAATAAAAGGGGGCATTATTTGTGCCGGACCCTGTATATAAAGACGACCAGAGTTATTAGAATCTGACCGATCTAGAAAACACTCTCTCACGTCTTAAAACTTAAAAAGGACATAGATGTCTCTCTTTCCACTTAGGAATTCTGACTCCAAATAAGTTTTCCTAATTTAAAAGGTTTCAGCCACAGCTGTCAAGAGGTCTCTGGGTCTTTAGCATAAAACACTTTATTTTAAAATCTGGTTTAACTGATGCATTGCAAGCTAAATAAAGAACAAACTTTGGAATAATCAGCCCATTCATCCTTAGTACAATAGGAAAAAAAATCTGAAGTCTTTGCCAATTTAGGTCAGTAGAGAAAATTTCCTTTCCATTATTTTTTTTCCAAAATGTATTCTTCCGAAATAATTACAACGAAGTCATTGTTTTAGCGTATTATCAGTTGCTCCTCCAGAACATTAAGATTTTATGTGCACTATTTCTCACTAATCCTCCCAATAAAGTCCTACCGTGTCTGATTTTTAAGTCACTTATTCAAAATCATTAAGTCATTAAAGTTATAAAGCTGAAGGTCTGCAATCCAGGTTTTCTAGCTCTAAGTTCTTGTCTCTTCTTAGTATGTCACATGCTGTTTTAGGAGTGGTAACTGCTCACGAGAGAGGAAATAAGGGTTTGTTTCTTTATAATAAGCTTTATATACTTCCCTTTCTAGGTTTTTGCAATTAAATTGATAGAAACAGGTGACAGAGAGAGTATCGGAATAGTCTTTCCCCCCCAAAAAGTGACCAAACTTCTTGTTTAATATTCATGCACTGAAAGTGCCCCCTAATTTGGGAATGCTACATTTAAAAACAACAATACCTACAAAGGCCACGTGGACAAAACCAAGGGGGAGTGAGATCAGAGGTAGAATGTGGTAGTGGCTGGGGTGCGGGGAACAGTGAGGGGGAGATGGAGACAACTGTACTTGAACAACAATAAATAAATAAACAAAATTGCCAAAAGTAAAAATAAAAATTAAAAAAGTCTAGCAAAAATTCTACAAAAAATAAAATAAAAACAACATACTTTGATCAAAAGTTTATAAGATAGGGGAAGTTCTAGGTGATAGATAAGCTGTTAAGGAATGATAACTGTTTCAGGATTTATTTCTAGGACTTCTATTAGAAAAATATCTTTCTGTCAATACGAGATCCTGGCTACAAGGCTGAAAGCCCACGTGACTATTTATTGGCCAAAATGTGAAGAACCCAACATGAGTTAACACGTGACGCCGGCTGCCTGAGGGCTGACGTAAGGACCTGCTTAGGCCTTATGTCAAGGAGAGCACGTTGGGTCTTCAGTCGTGATAAAACTGTAACAATAGCCATTAGTAGGAAAAATGTAACTTTCCAAAGGCACAGATTTCCCAAGACTCTATGAGGTAAACAGTCAATGTATAAATAATACAGGCTAACAAAAATATTTTAACTTTCCTCCATAGGCCAACTGTGAAGCTCTCAAAGGAAACAGCACATACAAAATAATTCTATAAAGAGAGTATTATATGTTTACTTTTAATTCCTTTCTAAGAGTCCCCTCCAGAGAGAGAAGCCTTCTTCGTGTGCTTTTGGAAGCAGAGACTGTTGCTGGTTGGATGGTTCAATTATCACGAACTATTCCAGCATGTTTCAAAAGCACTGCCATTTGAAAACATAGCAAATGTCTAAAAATGCAACCAGAGTAATAGATTCTGAGTGCATGGGTTGGGGGGTGAGGGAGAAAGACAATGACAAATTGGTCCAAAAGGACACTGCGACTTCATAGTTGGAGGACTATTGTGCTGACAATTAGTGACAGGAAGCAGAGCACAAAACAAATGAATGAAAAAGCTGCACTTGCAGTGAAAGACCTTATTATAGAGCAGAAACATTATCGTAATCAAGGGGCAATGTACTCTCCTCCACAAAACTTTGAAAGAGGCGCCCCACTCTCTCTTCTCTGTCCCTATATTCATTTTTTCATTAGCATGTGCTCGATTATGTATCATTTCCAGCCCAGAAGAATGCCTCTACATCTTTCCCAAAGTCCCAGGCTTAGAGGTCCTGCCCCCAGATGTGGCCTTGGGCCTCATTTAACTTTACTCAAAATATAACAAGTGCTTTTAGATTAGCATAAAGACACAGGGGAAAAAATAGAAAGGCAGTGATTTGGTGTGTTAACTGCAGAGATCAACAAGACACGTGACCCTCCAGCCCAGGCTGTTAGAAATCAGTGGCCACAGAATTCATACTGAACATCCCGATGATTCTGCCTCTAAAAACGAGTGTTTCTCCTATGACTTGTGCGATTGAACCAGAAGAACAAGGCTGAAATCTGCACACACTAGCGAACCCTCTGCCTCAAGCGTCAGCTGACGAAGAAGCTCTGAAACATACTCATGTTCTAGGTGAGAATGGCGAGGCTGGGTCCAGGATGCGGACATAAACAGATCTAGAGGCGGGGAAAGGCCACACTTCTGCACCCCAGAAAACCTCCACCTCTGGACCCCGACAAAGGCAGCCCGAGATGCTTTAGCTGAGCAGCGGTGCGGGAAAAGCACCGGCCCCGAAGCCAGAAAGCTGTGGGTTTCACTTCTAGTTCCATCGCTTACTCGGTAACGTGACCACTGGCAAACCCCGTGAGCCTCGCTGCCCCAGCTGTAACAGAGACACAATGAGCCCTGCAAAAGTGTTAGAGGGGTAACCATATGGATGGAGAGTGCACAGCACACAGGTACTCAACAAGTGGTAATTTACTATTATTAATTCCCAAGGGACTTCATGTTTCAAGAAATTATCTGCTGGTGATAGGCAAATCACTGACTTTTAGAAGAAAAGAACTTCAGAGATCCCTCATCCTAACTCCCTCACGTCACGGATGACATAACCCCAGAGCCCCGGGGTGGTTAAGTGACTGACCCAATATTACACAATGCAGTCCTATCAGAGGATCAGCCGCTGGCTCCCACCTGCATGGCTGCCCCTCTGCTATCACGTGTCACTGTTACTGAAACAGCCCCTCGAGAACAGCAAGAGTCTGCTCTCAACCTGCTGCATATGACACTTGGCATACCACATTTCTGTGGGTGCTGACTAAACATCATTTCAAGACAGTTGTCACCGCTGAACCCTTTATGTGACTAAGTACATCCAAGCCAGGTGTTACTTCATCTCTCTCTCTAGATCTAGTTTCATTATCTAGTCTGGGTTTTTTTTTAAGGTAACATTTATTTCATGTTAATTCTTGTCACCAAAAAATGGAATCATAGAAATAAAGCACCTCGTACAAAATAGGTTCTTAAAAATGTCAACTTTTTTCTTTCCTTCCTTAAGTCCCTCTTAATTTTGCATATATTAATTATAAGGAAGAATGGAATTAAAGCATTGAACATGATGGGCATGTACTCATTTTTAATTTACAGTTTTAAAAATTACACCAACCTCCACCTTCTAGAAAATAAAAAATTAAAAAATAAACAGTAGACAAATAATTCAGGTGTGTATCTGCATTAAACTTAATAAAAATGAACTGTCAATCATAGCATAGTCAGAAAGGTGTGCAGACAGAATTATTTTCACCCTTCAGATACGGAAGGGTGCCGTGAAGGAACAGGCTGGGAATAATAACAACATACAACAAGGGGCTCCTTGGCACAGGACAAGAGTCCTTAGCATCCAAGGCTGACTGGGTAGTGTTTTGCAGTCGGTAAATGTTGGCCTGAGAAGCCAGCATATATTGACCTGTTAGTCACTCATGTGAAAAGCTGTGCGACAAATCCACCACCGCTGCTCACTGCACACAGGCGGCGAGCGGTCCCCCCACCCCCACCCCCACCCCCTCCACCACCGCGTCTCTCCTACGTAAAGGTGATCGGATTTGCTTTCAATCAACAGATAAGGAGATGCTGTATTCTTTTTAAAAAACCTTTATAGCTAAGAAAATAATATTGTCTTTAAGATGGGATTTAAAATGGGAG